CCCCAAAACCCCAAAACCCCAGTGTTAAAATTTTCAATATCAAAACTAATTAATTGTTCAAACAAATCATTAATATATTACCGATGAAAATATTTAAAAAAACAAATTCAAGATAAATTATCATTATAACTAATTATATTCCCAGTTATTTTTTTGTTCAATCAAGCTTATTTCCTCTAACTCTTCTCTTCCATTCAGAGTGTTAACTTAATCGAATTAATAAGCAGGCATAATATTTAATTCAGGCAGTGGCTAAGGTTAGTTTTGGGTTTGTGGGGATATTTATTGATTTTATGTTGGGATTTCATTTATGATAACAGTCTAGTGATTTTAATCTTAAATTTAGTTTGGTAATTATCCATTTTAGCCCATTAAAATTGGTCCCTAATAAACATGCTAGTAATTTTAGGGCTGAAAAGAGGTAGATCTAAAATTTACAAAGGGGTCCTGAACAATTTGATAAGGATTAATAGGAGTTACAATGCCAGGAACAATATCATTGTTATAAGGAACCACAGGTGTAAGCTAATAAAGGTTGTTATTAAACTAAGACACTTAGGCCATTATTTCTCTAATAGGTGCACTGATAACTCCTCTTTCAAAAGCATTGATGTATTCAGAGTTATTCTTTTGAAATTTAGGTATTCTTCTTTTACAACGTATCCTTTTACAGGTAAATTTACATTTCAAGATTCTATAATTCCCTCTAAACTGATAGGTTATACATTAGTCAATCCATTAGAAGAAAAATGAAATCAAGAAAAAGAATAAAACAGTCATGCTTGTTGAGATAACAACTACTCTCATAACATAGAGATCCTCTGGCTCATCTTTATTCATATAATGATCTCTATAGAATTAGTCGTATTCATAGTCATATTCATCTTCATCTGGGTAATCCTCTTCCTAGGTAGAATTATCTTGATCTAATGTATTAATCTTCAAAGCAAGACCTCTTTATAATATTATCGAAGTGCTGATTCCATTGAAAATTTAATCCAATGATTTAAGTTCCTTATTATAGGAAAACTCATTATGAAACAAAGTTTCAGATCTCGTTTATAAATTTGAATTTTTACCTTCTGTTGAAGTCGTTTAATTGATCTAGTGAGACTTTGCTATTCAATTTTAGGCTTTATATAAAGTACTTGTGGATAGAACTCTTGAGGCAAAATTATTGTGAATATTCAGAATTAAAAGCAGAAAAATCATTTTTATGCAAGGAATTTTTACAGGAGACAGCTAAATTTGCATTTTTAATAAATATTCTATATTTAAATAATCTAATATCTGAATCTCATAAAATTTAAAATCAAGGGGTTTTGGGGTTTTGGGGTTTTGGGGTTTTGGGG